TCCTCCTGTTTTGCTGTGTGATGAGCTGTGGGGAAATCCTCACAGAGGCTGTGGCCTTCACAGCTTGCTTCTGCTCTGTGCGGGAGAAAGTCCTCCCTTCCCACAAAGCGGACTGCGGCCAATGCTCCAGAACCTTGGACAGCTCTGCGCCTTCCAGACGGCTGGCTGGCTGAGGGAGGAGGAAGGACTTGGGATGTGCTCAGAGAGGCTGCCTTCCAGCGGGGATTTAGGAATCCCAAGGGCTGCAGTCTCATTCCCAGCGCACATTCCACTTGCATGCATACTCAGATTCTTCAACACAGTCAGCCTCCTGGAAAATTCTGAAGAACCTCTCCTCAGAAACCCATTAACTCCACCCATAAGATCTACAGAATTTTTTGGGCCCTTCTCTTCTCTCCTGTGAACTCTAAGGATGCATTTATTTATTTTTTGAGCCCAAGAAGAACAGAAACACCACCTACATCTTCCTGTATCTGCTGATACTTAATTTGTTGGGCTTCAGTACAAGGATTAAACATACTTGATTAACCTCAAATGAAAGTAATAATGTATGAGCATGAAAAGGGGTTTTACAAGACAAAGAAATTCAGGTATGAATTAAAAGAAAAATAATGTTATTGCCTGTAGGTGATGTTAAATGCTATTCTCTAATCAGGAGAAGCAGGTGGTTCAATTTATGAGATAATTTAGCTTTTCACTCTCCAGTGCAGAACACAGCACACATATGCAGCCACCTTCTGAACAGGCGAGGAAGAGATTAAGTCCTATTTTTACTTTATGATACTGAGTCACATAATTCAATGCAAATCACATGGATGCCAAAGTAAGAACAATACCAGGTATTTAAATACCTCCTTTCCTTTGAGGAGCTCTAAAGACCTCGTGGCTGCGTGGAAGCCCTTCAGAACAACTCCAGGAGAAGAGATACATATCACTAAGTGAGCATTTAGGACTGAGTGGTTCTCATCCATTTCTCTCTGTCCCATCAGTAAGTCTGGAAGAGCTTGTGTTCTCCAGCTTCTTGCGTTTAGTAATGACCTCCTGATATCTGCATTTTTGGGGGAACACATTGTCATTGAGGAAAAGAAGGCTCGTCTTTGAGAAATGTTGTTGGGTAATTTAATAACGAGGGTGAGAGAAGACAGGAGGAATAGGGCAAAAGAAGGGAGAAAGGAATAATAGAGGAAGAGACAAGACAGATGTCTGAGCTTCCCTGAGCTTGAGATTTTTTTTCTGTGCATTTTCCTCAAAAATGGGCTTAATGCCCACCTCTCACTGGACAGACACTTGAACAGAGTCCTTTAGACCCTCTTTAAATATGGACTAGGACAGTGGCAGTTCCACTGTTTGAACTAACTTGAAGGAACAGCAGACAAGAGCATCAACCGAGGACTCCAGAGGCAGGCAGGGAGTCCCCATGTAGAAGGGTTTGTGATTTTTTACCTAACAATGCCCACCCCCTCCCTGAGCCTCCACATTGTGGGGGAGTGTTGCCACATTTCAGTTCAGTTTAACTTCTGTCCAGCAGAGGTCACTGTGGATACTGGCAGTGGATACTTCTGGAGACTGGACCAGGCAGGGCTGGGCTGGATGGTGGCTCTACTGACTGCTCACTGCTCTTTCTGTGATTCTACGATAGTCTAGCTATAGCCTAGCTCCTTAGGGGACTGGGGTCTGTGATGTGGATTATCTCAAAACCACACCACACTCTGCTGTGAAAGTGCTGTCAAGTTGCCGTCACTTGCTGAGAGTGGGCAGGTCTGGGAGGGCTGGCCTCATCCTCGAAGGGAGTTTTCTTGAGCAGTTTCTCTGTGTCCCACTTGTGCCCTCTCCATGAGTATACCTGCTATACTGATATATCACCTGTCACTAACAACCCCAATCCGATGTCCTTCTAGACATGGAAGCCAAACTGATAGAAGTTGCCTTGACACACAATCTTGCACCCACACCATAAGGGACTCCACTGGTGAGAGACTTGGGAGTCCCAGTTGGCAGCCCATGGTGGGGGGGGCGCAAAATTCAGGTCCTCATGGCAGCCCATTGCAGCAGGATAGAGTTCTTATCCACTGGTGAGGGTGGTAGGGCCAGAAGAAGCGAACCTTGTAGGACCCCACTTTCTGGGCCACACCCAGACATGCAGGTGAGGCGCAAGCGACACTGAAGCTACACCCACCCTGCCAGCATCCCCTGGAACCCTAGTCATTAGTGTGATTTGAGAGTGGAAGGGGTGACCTCTGTGTCCTCCCCCCAAATCCCAGGCTAGCAGTAAGGGTGCATCTGCACGCACACACACGCGTGTGCACATACACAGCTAGAGGCACAAGCTCATGCACACACATGAACACTGGTGCACACACCGGCACATTTACCCTGTCACGCACATTCGCACCATTGCCTGAGCACTCACTGTGACACTTACACGCTGGAACCCAGCAACCAAATTTGACTAATATGGCTGATAGTCAGGGGCGGGGTGGGGGTGGGGTCCGGTCAGGATGTCCCTCGGGATCCTGTTCCCCTGATACCTGCTCCTCGCGTTGTGGAGCCTCCCTACCCCACCCCAAGCCCCCCGCTGTCGCCGTCCTTCTGGTCACAAGTCTTGAACGCCCCCAGAAGGGACCCTGGTTACCATAGCACACACGGCATCCTGGGGGACAGGGTGGCGGGGTGGGGGTGGGGGTTGCGGGGAAGATATTGCGGGCACCGTGCCCTATCCGGGTGCAGCCGCCTCCTCCCTCGGGATTTTCCATCCCGGCTCGCGCGGGCCCGCGAGGAGTGTAGCGAGCGCGCTTTGTCTCCCGCCCGGCTTCTGGCACGTTTCCGCTGAAGCTCCCTGCGCCCCGCCCGAAGCCCCCCCCTTCCCGGCCGCGCCCCCCGCCCAGCCCGTGGCGCAGGCCCACAGTGCCGAGACCGCGCTTTGTCCTCTCGCGGACGCGTGGCCGAGCGGGAAAGCCCCGCGCCCGGGCGGCCGCCGCGTGCTCCAGACGCAGGACTTGCGGCTGCATCTGGGGCGCGCCCCACGCCAAGCCCCGCGGCCCAGAGGGGCTGAGGGCTTCGAGGGCGTCTGCTTGGCGCTGCGGGGTGGTCGGCAGGGACCCGCCCCGTCCCGCTCTGCACGTACTTCGGGCTCGGCTTCTCCCCGCGGCACGGGAGCCTGAGTCCCGAGGGCGGCTGGGACGGGAGGGTCGTCTGGGTATAGGGCGCCCGGCCAGGAGCCAGAGGAAGAGGACCTGGGAGGTGGGCCGGGAAGGGAGAGCAGGGGGGCAGCCCCTCAATCCCTCTTACTCTCCCCCGCTGCACACCCCACCCGCAGGCTGCTCGGGTCTTAGGCGCCGGGTGGACGCAAGCGCGGAGGACCCCGAGAATCCATCAGTGCTTTCCTGGACCAGCGACTCCAAGCAGGGCGGGGAGGGGGCTCCCGCCTCTGCCCCTCACAGTCTAGGCCCTCCCTTCCTTCCACGCCCCAGTACCCTAGGCGGGTCCAAGTGGGAGGGGGAAGACCCCCCCCAATCCATCGACATCCAGCTCCTTCCTCTCCACAAAACCCGGGGCTTCGGGAGAGGGGCGGGCACGGACACCCCAAATATCCCTCCCTCGGCAACCCCAGGAGGGTCTGAGCAGAGGGGAGGAGCCCCCCGCTCTCATGCATCACACCCAGACCCCTTTGTAACCTCCGTCAGCCAAGGTATTGCGGAGAAGGGTCCCCCTGCCCCCAAACATTCGTCCCGCAGCACCCCCACCCCTCCGCTCCGATGCGAGCGCGAGCCTCGACTTCAGGCGCGGGGGGAGGGAGGCTCCCCGTTCTCGACGCGCTCTCAGGAGAAATGGGGGGGTCCTGCAGCTCAAGAGCCCCTTTATGGCATAAGCCCCACTAGCCCCGGCTGCGGGGTCTCCGGCACCGGCCGCGGCGGGGCGGCGAGGAGTCGGCAGCTCCTCGGGACGGAAGGGCTGGAGCGGGGCGGGCAGGTCCCGCCAACTCCCCAGGCCCCCTCGAGCCTCCGCTCCTGTCCTCCCCGATCACACAAAAGAGAAGCCGGCAGCACTGACCTCAGGGGGCGGGAGGGCGGTCGCCCGCCGCGCGCCCAGCTGCCCGGGCTCTGGGCCCGGCTCCCCGGCGGTGGCTGTCGCGGCGGCCGCGGCGACCGAGGCGCTGGCGTCCGGAGCCTCCCTCGGACTCAGCACCTGGAGCGGCGAACAGCTCCGCGCCTCGTTCCGCTGGCCCCGCCCCCTCCGCGCCGCCGTAGCCAATGGCGATCCGGGCCCCGCCCAGGAGGCCGCCCATTGGGGGCGCCGTCCCCGCTCCCTCCGGCTCCGCCCCGGGTCTCTTCCAGCTCCCGGCCAAACCACAGCCCCCAGAGACGGCCGCAGCTTCTGCACAGCATTCTGGGGCTTGTAGTCCGGTAAGCGCTGGGGGCGGGCCCGTGCCTGGGCAGCTAGCCCGGGGCGGACTGCGTCTCCCAGGGCGCATGGCGAGACGGAGGCGACGCGCGGGGCGGGGGGGCTGTTTCCATAGCGAAGGCGGCTGTGGCGGTGATGGACGAAGCCGCGGGCCGGCAGGCCGCGGAACCCCGGCGGCGGCGCGCGTGACTTCGGACAGCCTCCAGGGAGACCTTCGGGGAGGCCTTTTCCCCACTGGGCCCCGCCGCGGCACCGGGCTCGGGGTTTGCCGGGAGGAGGGGCGGGCAGCGCCCCCCGCCCCGCGCCCCCCGCCCCGCGCCCCGCGCCCCGCGCCCCGCGCCCCGCGCCCCGCGGCAGGTGACGGCGAGCGCCTGCTCTGCCCCCGAGGAGGACGAGGGCGGAGAGACTTTCCCTCGGCTTTTGGAACTTTGTCCCTTTATTCCCGTCTCGATTTTGTGGCAGAAGAGCGTTTTACTTTTTGTCATACTCCTTGGGCCATCGGGACCTTCCCGCCCGGTCTCCCCGGCCCCCGCGCCCGCGCGCCTCCCCCCGCGCGGCTAGAGGGCGCTTCTGCCGCGAGCCTCGCCGGCCGCGGGTGAGCCGGTTCAGCAGCGCTGGACAGCCCCCGTCCAGGTTCGGACGCCACCTTCTTGCAACACCGAACTTCTCTGGAAGCTGCGGAGCCTTCAGCATCCGTTTCCTCTCACCCCCGCGAATCCCTCCATCCTGCACGCAGCTGACCCCCCATTCTCATCAAGTCCCAGCCTAGGGCCTGGGCCACGAAACCTTTCTGGATGCCCGGATCCATATTAGGTACCCCACCTTGTGTTGGAGCTCTCCTCTCTTTTTCCTCTATTCTACTGGCACGTTTAAGTATCTGTCTTCCGCATTAGGTTATAAGACCCTGTTTAATTCATACATGCAGTCTGGTGCCTACGGTGTCTGGCACATAGTGGGAACTCAATAGATTGTTGATTTGCAAATGAATCGAAGCTTGATTGAATTTCACCCGCAACTTCAAAATCTTGATTTTGTAAGGTGGGCATTGTTTCCCATTGCTGGAAGTATTCAACTAGAGGACTGCCCACCCCCAAAGAAATGTTTATGTCATTTTACAGTGGATTGGAAATTTGCCTGAATGTTTTGGGGCCCCTTCCAGTCCTGTGACGCTAGGGATTAATGGATTCATGCCTATTGTTCCTTGGAAGTCCTGTCAATTTCCCCCTAAATGTCATCAGTTCTTCATGTTCCTCTATTTCGAGCAGTTGGCCCTTCTCCTTTCTGTGTCTAAATGCCGTCCCTCCCTCCCACTCCCTTTCTGGGAAATATCTTTCTCTGCCCCTATTAGTTATGAAGTAACAACAGTTTGACATTCCTCCCCTGCTTTCAGCCCTCTGCTCAGTGGCATGGGGTCCTGGTGGTGAGCCCCACCTTGCTAGGTAGTATCTTTTCTGAACCTTCCCCCCACTCAGTGCCCTGGTGTTGGCCAGATGGTTCAATTAATCTCACACATGCTTCATATGTCACCCCATTCAGACATTTGGGGTGAATTTCAGCTAAAGAATTCTTGGGAGAATGCCTTAATGTGTGGGAATAATTAATTTGTGGCTGAAAGAGTAACCAAGGGGACTATTACCCTGAACCTAATTTAAACCAAAAATATAAAACCTGGAAGGAAGCAATCCTATCATCCTTGAGTCTACGACATCCAGGTAGGGAGCACTAGGCTAGGGGAATGAATGAGCGAAATGTATTACTTTTAGGGAAGAACTAACAGAACTTCTAAGAGTCACTGGAGAGGCTTTGAACCTGGTTGAACCATGAGGGAAGGCCATGGGAACTGGGAGAACAGCTGGGGCCTCACTATTGAAGATGAGAAACTGTAAGGAGGCAGGGGCAATGGGATTTGTGTTGACGCAGAGTGCCTCATTCTGTGGGTGCAGTGAGAGCAGAGGCTGTTGAGAAAGCAGGCATAGAGAGAACTGTGTCACAGATGAGCAGCAGCAGAGGGCTGGTAAAGACCTTCGGAGCCACAGCTGAGACTCTGGAAAAGCCACTTTAGCCCTTCAGAACTAGTGCTCTTTTTCAAGCACTTGCTATAAATTGGGGCAAAGTCAGATTTCCACAATTCTCCCAGAAAGTAGGGACTAGGATTGTTTCAGGCAAGTGGAGTCAGGAAAGCTGGGTTCTAATTCTGCCTTTACCTCTGATTAGCTGTGTGATCCTGGGCTGGACTTGTTTCTTCAGTTGTAACTACGGTTTATTGATGTGAGGAAGCAGCTAATAAGGTGGAGGTGGGGAAGTTCATATATATTTACTAGCTCTGTGATCTTGCACAGGCTACCTTCTCAGATCTGCAGTTTACTTATTTGAAAATGTTGTCATGGATAAATGAGATGCCTTAAGTGAAGTGCTTTATGAATATGAACCGTGAGGGAAGACCATTGGAGCTGGGTGAATATGAAGTATTTAGCAAGTGTTGCTGTTTTCACATACTTCATTTTGGCTCATCAGAAATTGATTTGCCTGGAGAAGCAGGCAGGCATTACTGTCCTTGGGTAATCTGTGTTCTATTTCTATTCCCTATTCTTTTTCTTCTAGTTGCATGATTTTGGTGTGGTATATGCTCAGTCTATTTCCTTTGTGACTTTTTAGGGGTGTTCCACAGCAGAGAACCCGAAGTGATGGAATTCTAGATGTTTAGAAGCCAGAGTTGCAAAGGATTCCGGAGGATCATAGAACTCGCTTCTTAACCTTCTTAGAGGGATAAAGGGTCTCAGCGTAGTTCTGTGGGCCTTCTAATTAAGTAGCAAGAGGATTATGCAGACACGGGCTAGGTCCTGAAGAGACTAGTGTACAGGCTGAGGCACATAACTGTATTCTTTTTTTTATTATTATTTATTTTTTTTATAGAGGCATGTTTTATTTGTTTGTTTGTTTGTTTTGTTTATACATGCACTGGGTACAGTCAGAAGCGCGGGAGGGTGAGAGAATTCACCAGAGCCAGAGCGGGGAGCAGAGCAGGCAGAAGGACCGAAGTACACTGCTGAGGGGAGCAGCAGACAGCAGGAGAGGTCTGCGCGCCATGCGAGACCCTCCTCCGGTGGCCGGGGAGCAGCCGGGGATCGAACCGGCGCCGCAGAGGCCGCGGGCAGCTTCGCAACCCAGCGCTCAACCGCTGCACCACTGGGGAGGCCCACACATAACTGTATTCTAAAGATAATGAAGGTTTTTAAGGAGACGTGTATTTTGAAAAGGCGTCGAATGGTCAGGAGAAGGCGAGGCTGGGATGTGGAAGCCAGCCAGTGATCCAACACAACATCTGTGCAGATGGGAAAGAGGGAGTGGATCTGAGAGGTATTAGAAGGGAAATATTCTAAGGATTTTGAGGATGAAGAGCAGAAGGCATGGAACAGAGTGGTGAGTCAAGGATGGTGCCCAGGTGTCTGCTGTGGTCAACTAGATGAATGAACGGTGAGACCCTCCCCCGAGGTGTGGAATAGTGAAGGGGTAGGTTTAGGCACAAGAGGAAGTGAGTTTGAAGTGAGTGGGGACATCCAGGCGAGATATGTAGTAGATGATTTGAATCTTATAAGAGAGATCTGATCTGGCGAAAGAGTCTTCAGTTATCAAGTTAACAACCTATAGATCAAAACTGAAACCAGAGGAGAGGATGAAATCTTTCAGGAGAAAGGGTCTAGGACAAAAATCAAAATCCCTTGGGATGTACCGACAGTTCAGGGATGGGTAGAGGAAGGGGTACCCAAAAGGGAAGGTGAGAGGAACAGTCGGAGAGGAAAAGCAAAGAAGCTCAGCCAAGGAAGCCGGATGGCATGATGCAGGATGGTCACATAACTCAAGGCCTCAAAAAGTGAACATCAAATTTAGTGACAAAGAGGTCACCAGTGACCGTGGAGAGAGTATTCAGCGGAATAGCGGGTGCAGAAGTCTGAGTGCGTAGGAAGTTGAGGAAAGTGACCTTTGAGAGTGGATTGGTTTTGAAAGGAGGAGGAAGAAAATCAGAAAGGATATAGTAGCCAGAGACGATTTTTGTTTCAGGTTGGGAGTGATTGGGACATCTAAAAATGCCAGCGGGACAGTTGATACAGGAAAGAGAGGGATAGAAAGATGGAGTGAGGTCACCAAAAGGGTGAGAGCTGGAGGGCTTCAGAGTGAGTCTCAGGCAGGAGGAGGGTCTACTTTTCCTCTAAGATGGCAGAAGAAGGTGGAAAAGAAGGACACAAGTAGGTAGGTCAGTCAGTAAAGTGGGTAAATGAGTCAGTAAGTGGTTGGGAGACAGGCTTGGGGAGTTGGGGGAGTTCGCTCCTCGTAGCCACTATTATTCTTGGGATGTTGGAGGCAAGGATATCTGCTCAGTGTGAGGAAATAGGTGGGAGGCTTGGAGAAAGAGGAAAAGATTCAAGATGGCTGCTATCAAAGAGTTAATGGCTGTCCACATGCCTGCAAGGTGGTGGTGAGGGCCTGCTGAGGTTGGAGGCTATCAGTTTGTGGGGACACTAATCTGTGGGACTGTGGACTTTGACATGGCATCAGCCCTGAGTTGAGCATGGAGATGGCTGCTGGTGAGCCTGATTTTATTGGAGAAGGGAGAAAACAAGGAAGCTGGAGATGCTGACCAAAGAGGTAGACATGGTGGAGGGGATGGGTGGCACAGGTGGGTTTCTTGGTGGAGTGAGACGACAGTGATAGTTGGGTGGAACAACAGGAAGGGCAGACAATGCTGGTCAGGGGTGGAGAAGCTCTGGTCAGGGCCAGAGGCAGGGAGGCCGAATTGGATAGAGATCATAGGACTAAAAGACAGATTTGTTGGATGGCTCATTGGCAAGACTCCCGGAAAGATACCTACTTCGAAGGACAGAGGAATGCTGGTCGTCCTTTGCCAAAGCGTACAATGAGTGGGAAGTTAACTGATAATGGAGAGAAATACAAGGTGTAGAGCTGCCTGGCATGAGTGTTACTGAAATTAAGATATTGGGAAGCCGAGAAGAAGCCCCTTACTCAAGACTTGAAGGGAAAGGCGGAGAGCAAGCCATGATTTTCACAGAAGAATTTGTATCAACGTCATCTCCAAATATCAGTTTTGTACCCACCTAAAAGCTGGAATGTCTAGGAATAAAATTAACCAAAAATTGCAGATTTCACGGTGAAGTCGTAGCAACCAAGTTCAATGGTAGTGATTCCTGCCATTTATATTTTGGTATAGTTTGTAGATTTAAGCATGTGCATATCAACTAGAAAATGTGTTTAAGAATTTTGCAAATTGCATTTCTTAGCAACGATTTGTTTTCTCAGTTTAGAACATAAATGAGAGAACTTGTGTTGATTTTTTTTTTTCAAATGTAGAGCTTAGAGCTTAATTCATGCCTTTGAAATGCCATGAATTTGAAATGCAGCCATTTTTCTTTCTGCATCCTTGAAAAGGATTACAAGGATTTTATTAGTTTTTCAGATAATCTTGCCAGCATACCCAGACTTCCCACAAGGGTCTCCTATCAGTAACGTGGTAGTGTGAGTGATGCTGCAGAAAAATGCTGCGCTAGATATTTAAGACAAATCAAATAAGCAGCCAACTTTAGGATTTCCCAAATAGCAGCTCAGTTTATAATTATGGGACTTGGTATAGACTATGAAATGTGCATCTCAATGTTAATTGAGAAAAATAATCACCATAATTTCTTAAGAAAAAAAGGACAAAATCAGCTAATTGCTATGAACAATCTCTCACTTATGAAAAAAACAGTGTTATTTAAAAATATTTTTGTGTGGTTGATAGGTCTTTGTCATCTCAAAATAGCCCTGCTATTTCAGTCCATTGAAACAGTGGGCGCTCAGAAAATATTTTGTGAATCAACTCATGAATGTTCAGTGATATTCTGCCCATTATTTAAAATTCTTCCTTTCATATCAATCTTTGACAAAATATTATAAAAGGAGTGTTTGTTTTTAAACCTATGCCAGGCCATGTCACACTTCTGCTCAAACCCTCCAGTAGCTGCTTTGTCTCACTGAGAAGAAACCCTAGCCCTTGTGATGGCCTCCAAGGCCATGTATACTTTGAATCCTGTAGCCTCTGCCTCTTCCACTAGTTGTACCTCTCTGCTTTAGCACCTTGATCTCCATGCTATTCATTAATTGCACCATGTATACTGTGGCCTCAGGGCCTTTGCACCTGATGTTCTCTTTGCTTGGAAGCTCTTTCCCTAGATATCCTCATGGACATCTCTTGGCATTCTTTATTTTCTTTTTCTTTTTTTTTTCATTAGCATGTATTATTATGTGACACACTTACTTGTTTTCTTATTTACCGGTATATCTGTCTCTTCTCCGAGCCTCATTCCTCCAGTAACCCTCTAGAATGAACTCTCCATTAGGACAGAAACTTTGTCCCTTTTGTTTACAGCTGTACTCATGTACTCATGTTTACATGTACTCATGTACTCATGAGTACTCATGTACTCATGTAGAACAGCATCTGGAATATAACAGGTACTCATAAAGCATGTTGAATTAAAATTGAACCTACTTGTTCAGCTGTTCATTCAGCCATTACTCAACAAATATTTAATGAGGTGTTTTTCTGTGTTCCAGACAGAGCGGAGGCTACAGTGGTAAATAGGATGCAGGACTTGCCTTCGAGGAACAGAGATTCCTTATAAACACCATCTGTAGTCATTGCTTAGTAGTCCATCAAATGCCATACTCTACTTAACCTCTCCTCTATTTAAGACTTTTTGTTTCTTATTAGTAATGGTGTAATGATTATCTTCACGTATAGCAATTACCTTTCATAAATTATTCTTTAAATTCCCAAGTTAGTGATAATTAGGTTGGGTTTTTTGACATCATCTGCCACACTGATTCCAGAAGGGTGGTACGCCCTTTACCTGAGCACCAGCTTTCCCAGCCTTCCCATCATTGGGTATTACTTTCATTTTTTGGCTAATGTAATGAACAGAATATGGTACTTTTAGTTTTGCATATAACACCTATCTACTAAAAGTGCACATTTTCAAGTTTGTTTTTCAGTCATTGGCTAGTTTAATAGGTCTCTGGGAGGCTCTTGGAGGGCCAGGGCCCTGTCTTGTAGCTCATGCACAGTGTTTCACATATGGTGGAGGCTCTTAGAGCCGTGGTCTCAGAGTTGGAAGGGATTTCACTCACCTTGTAGTTTGACTAAAATTTCAGATAGACATCACTAGCCTCTGCTTACATACCCCTGGCAATGGGGAACTCACCACCTCACAAGGAAATCTGTCTTGTTTTTGCCCTGTTCTACAGGTGTTGATCTGACTTCTGGTTCCTGCTATTCCCATGTGGCCCCGGGACCACCTTCTGAAGCAACAGGACCCATACATGACATGTTATAGAACCTGCCTACCTTGACTCCCCATCTCTGCAAATATATGACCAGACTAGAATGATCAGCACCAGGTAAGTCTGGCAGATTCAATAGCCAAGACACTGTTTTGCCCACAAGTCTCTGCAGTGGCTGTGTCAGCAACCTCTTCAACGGGGTTTATGTGAAGTTTAAGTTAAACTGGGATTCGAAGTATTTCTTGATTTGACTTGAAGCCAAACTTAGTTCCTCTTATCCTATACTTCTGCAGTGGATCTTTTTATTTTTTTTAATTTTTTTAAAGATTTATTTTTTATTTATACAAGAACCAGGGTACAGTCAGACGTGCGGGAGGGTGAGAGGATTCACCAGAGACAGAGCAGGGAATAGAACAGGCAGACTGACTGAAATACACTGCTAAGGGGAGCAAATGGCAAAACAGGAGAGGTCTGCTGTGCCATGTGGGCATCTCACCGGCCGTCCAGGATCAAACCTGTGCTGCAGAGGCTGTGGACAGCTTCACAGCGCTGTGCTCAACTGCCTGTGCCACCAGGGAGGCCCTGCATGGATCTTTTTAAACCTAAAAACAAGACTTTGCTTTTCCCTCTATTTTGTTGTGATGGATTACTAGAGAAGCTGGGACTGCTCCTGCTGACTAAAATGGGGATAATTCAGAGTCATTTTGAACAACTTCGCATGTTGTGGCAATTGAATGTGATACAGGAGTGGACGTGTATCACGCCTTGGTAACATGGCAGCTGAGCCTCCTTCCTGTGCTGGAGCCATGTATTAGGGGGATCATGGGCACACCAGAAATGTGGTAGCAGTGTTCAGAGGGATCCCCTTAGGGTTCTGTCTCTACCATAGCCATTGATTTTTGTAATGTTAAGATCACAACCACAAATTTTAATTCCCTTGCCAAATATGACTGTATAGAGTATTGTCTTGACATAAAATAAACTCCACTATCAAAAGAGAATAGAACGTAAGTTCCTACTCATCATCTGATCTAGAGTCTTCCAATGCCCAAGTTACTCTGTGTCAGGCAGGCCTTGGCACTTTACATGCTTTCTCTCTTTAATCTTCATCACAATCCTGTGAACTAGGTACCATTATAATTCCCTTTTTACAAATAAGGAAACTGAGGTTATGGAACTAGCCCAAGATTGCACAGCCATTAAGTGGCAAAGATGTGTTGGTCTCCACTCTAGAGACTGAAATGTTCTACATTCATAATTGTAAAATCTCTCCTCTCTACGTCCCACTCCTGTTTCTGCTTAGCCCAGTAACCCGCTGGGGCAACTCCCTTTTCCCCGTCTTCCAGCTCAGTTCTCTGTACTACTCCTGCTTGGGGCACTTCAACTTCTTCTTCTGAAATCATCTAAACCATTGTGTATCAGCTACATCCTTGGGAGAATCATCCCAGGAATGCCATGAATGGGTAGTTCTCTACATGGACTCTGAAGGTCCTGCAGTCTGTCCCGCTCCTGGCAGGGTAATGGCAGGAAATAGTTGACTTAGCCATGAGCTTTCCAAGGGACTTCATCCAAAGTTCTCCTTTCTAGAAAAATAGCAGGAAAATAACCAAGACAACAGAAACAGCACTAGTACTGTGGAAGGGACTCTTCTGTCTCGCTGAGAGGACTGCAGGCTTTGTGAGGGCAGGAGTTTTTGCTAGTTTTGCCTGTTGCTGTATCTCCAGTGCCTGGAACCAGGCTTGGATCACAGTAAATGTTCAAATATTTGTGGAATGAAAGAGTCAGGCAGTTCCACATCTGGTGTTACTTCCTCTGGTTACGAGGTTGTTTTGGAGAATATCGTGATCTCCCAGGACTTCAAATCCCCTTTCCATGACCTCAGCAGATTTTCAGTTTTGTTGTGATTTCGATTCATAAGAAGATAACCTTAACGATATGTAAACTACTTTGGATAAACAACCCTGCTTTAAAAGCAATTTCACTTGGTCTTATAAACCTAAGTAAGAAACTGGAATTTGTTTCGGTGTGTGGGAGGACTGGACTTCCTGTCTCCTATGAAGAAAACATTCTGTCACTTTCTGCTTTGAATTTTGAACTTGAATGTGAAATCATTAACCAAAAAAAAAAAAAGCTGAATGAGGAATATTAGACCTGACATTTTTTCTCATTGTTTACTCACCAATAATTTGTGTTCGTTGTTGAAAAGGAGAAAATACTAGTAAGCAAAATTGTAAAACTAGAAATCACTTATCTTCTCCTCACTCAGAGGTGGTCACTGTTAACTATTTTTCTCTTTGTATCTAATACTGGAAAGCATTTCCCTGGTGACAGAGTAGAGGAAGCAGCTCTGTTTTTCTGTGGAGAAAGTGCACCTGGGAGGTCTGGTTCCCAGCTCAGATTGACCTGTGGCTCAGCAGATCCCACAGATCCAGGCCAGCAAGGTGCAGGGAGCAAACTCCCCAGGATCTGAGCTTGGAGGGTGACCCCAGTAGAGGCGGAAAGCTGAAATGGGGAGTAAGGAAACAATGATCTGGCTGAACATCCTGATTTAACAAACAGCAAATTTCATGAAGCCTTCCAAGCAATGGGAGTGTCTTTTCTTCAGAATTGAAGGTGAGATAATCTTGGGAGAGTCTCCCCAGAACAACTGGAAAGTCAGAAAGACAGACTGTGCAGCAAGACTCTGGGGACAGGGAGTGGGGTAAGCGCAGCGCTGCTATGTAATTGGCTGACACGTCTTTTGGACCCACTCTCTTCCACCCTGCCTTTCTGAGGAGGGACCATGTCACTTCTGGCTCCTGACCCACTGCAGCCATAGGTGGAGATCTGTGTGAACCAGATCTGAGGTCATGTCCTCAGCATCTTAGCATCTTCCAGCTGCCTGGTGTGGATCCCTGGGAGGGCTGGGGCATGAGTCAAATGGTTTGTGTTTTTCTGTAAAGTTAATGCAAATTTTGAATTTTTCCCCGTAATATTTATCTGAATCTTAAACTAATTTTTAAAAAATCTTTAAGTGAAGGGCCTCCCTGGTGGCGCAGCGGTTGAGCGCTGGGTTGCGAAGCTGCCCGCAGCCTCTGCAGCGCCGGTTCGATCCCCGGTTGCTCCCCGGCCACCGGAGGAGGGTCCCACATGGCGCGCAGACCTCTCTTGCCGCCCGCTGCTCCCCTCAGCAGTGTACTTCGGTCCTTCTGCCTGCTCTGCTCCCCGCTCTGGCTCTGGTGAATTCTCTCACCCTCCCGCGCTTCTGACTGTATAAATAAATAAATAAAATCTTTAAAAAAAAAAAAAAAGATCTGGGTCTCGGCTGTCTCCGTGACCACCCTGAGGCCAGTTTACCCATCAGTTTCTTGGAGGTTGCCTGGAGCATGAAGCTCACTGCATGAAAGACTCTCCAGGTCTTGTCTTCCTGTATTGAAGGCTAAAGGCACAAGGTCACCTCACTTGACTGTGAGGTCTGGGGTCTGGAGCACGGCATATCCCCTCATTCCTGAGCAGACTGTTGGGGGTACACCAGGAAGCTCCATGTGGACGCACTAGCTATGTTATTTCAGGATAACAACCACTCAGGATGTTGGAATTTTTAGCTTGTTTAATCTTTTAAATTTTGGTCCTAGTCTTGTTACGGCTCAAGTTCAGGTTTCACTGGCTCCACTTAGCCATAAGTTGAGTGTCTCCAATTGAAGGACCTACCAGGCTTTGTGGAACTCTCCAAAGCACAGATTAAAAGGTTACAGATTATTCCCAGCTGTCAAGGGCCTTTCAGTCCTTGAAGCAGATGTGGCCATTTCACCTTACAAGGGGAGCCGGCAATGGCTTTCTCCTCCTCAGCTTAGCCCAAGAATACCCTCAACCCTGCCTTCCGAAACTCCTTCCCTAGCACACTGGATAGGTGTGTGGCAGTGGGTGGATATGGAGGGCTGGGAGAGCTGGATTCCTTAAAGCAATTATAAGTGGCAAAAAGTCAGCTTGTTGAGAACCCACCAAATAACCCCTTCGAGAAGGAGCCAGGTGTGACCTGGGTGCGAGTGAACAGTGCTGTCTGTGGGAGGGGAGTACAGTTCTGTTCTCCTTTCACTGCTCAGCATTTTTTATTTTTCTATCCTGAGCATGCATTGTTTTTCTAAGAAAAACACCTACAAGCAAATCCTATCATTGGAAATTTAGATAATTTGGCTTTTTTTTTAATAAATACAAGCAATGCAAAGTAGGACTAATTTACTGAAATTGAGTTAAAAACTATAAAGCACAGAAAAGAGCCCATCTTTAATTTCTGAAAAACTGAAAAATTGTTTCCAGATGTTTCAGAGGGTCATGAAACTGCTGCAGCGTTCAGCAGCTGGGTTCCTGTCCTAAGAGCAATGAAGAGACATGATCGTTTTCAACCCGGTCATTTCTCCAATAATAGGTCATCTGGTTGGCCAAAATATATTGAATTTTAGAAATTTATAAATGTGTCCTTTTAAGCACCTTTTTCACCTGCACAGGAGTTAGGTAGGGAAGTAAAGACAAGTGGCTCACCCTGTTGTTACTCTGAGTTTGTGAGGTGGGCGTGAGGCCAAGAGCCACACATGGGTAAGGTCATGTGTGCATAGGAGGTACTTGGCTCCGGCAGTGCCCAAAAGTAAGGAGGGATGCAGGTTGCTCCTTCAGTATTAAAAACATCACCTCTGATCATTTGAGTGACTTTTCTATTTAATATCTTTTAAGTGGCAACAAACTCTTATCTCCTTTTAAAAAGCACAGTGGAAGAGTCTCTTGTCTGCCAATTCCAAGCTGTTGCCAGAGCTGTTGTCGTCCAACCGCACTCTCGGTGGCCTTACGCCATGTTCAGCTGCACTCTTTGCCCACCCCAGCCTGGAAGAATCCAGCCCTCCATTTTGTCTGCGGGGTTTCAGAGCTGCCGAGCTCTACTGGGACAGAAGGAGACCAGGGCCACTGCAGAGATGTGCTGTCCGACTTTGCCAGCTCCTCACCTGTCCTTTTTTCCACACCCAGCCAGATATTAGCCCCTTCCCCGCGGTACTGCTTCCTGCTTGTCCAGCTCTACCCAGTGCTTTCTGTCTCCATTGACCTTGGCTTCTTGGGCTCACTTCGGAATGAAGCCCGTCAGTTTCTCA